GAGAGAGAAAGAGAGAGACACTGATTTTTTCTGTAGAAAGACAAGATTATGTGTGGGGTACTCCATGCAGTGGAACATGGAAGAATTCCATTTCTCTCCTCAGTCCTTTGTCTTTCCTCTTCCTTCAAAATCGCTACTTCTCAACATTTAAAAAGACTCAAAGAAAACAGCTAGAGATAGACAGCTTCTCAATCATCATATAATTGTCAAGAGGACATCTGACCCCAGGGGTAGAGTACTCAGGGAACAGTGGCTGGTGTTCCCAGCCACCAAGCTCAGCCCTCCAATCTGGCAAATCAAAGCATCACATGACCTGCTTCTTTAAAATGACAAGCATTTTCCTTTCAAAGATAATCAAGGATGCAAAAGCTTTCAAGAAGGATCATATGAGCATCAAGAATCACAGTTCCCAGTGACATGTCCCAACTGGCACTGTCACTTCCACTGTGTCAACACAGATTTCCTTAAAGCTGACCAGCAGCATCTGGAGCAAGAACAAAATGCTAATGACATGTGAATTTCATTTATTTTTTTCCCCCCCAAGAGCCCACAATTGTTGCAAACAATTGTGCAAACTATTGGCCACCATTCCTGGCTGGATGTAAAGTTGCAACATTAGTGTTGTGCATACTTGTGCGTGTACACACACATACACACACACATACATTTAGGGGTCTAACGAGCATGTCTGGGTCTTACCAGTTGTTAGGAGAGTGGTAATTATGACCAAGTACTATATGATTTGGTTCGGAGGTGTCACTCATTCCCCAAATTCCAGGAAGGTCTCGTTCCTCCCACACACTGATGTAAGCAATCAGGGTTCCTTCTGAAATTTACTCCAGATTCATTCATTTTATTCACTCAATCTTATATTTAAAGGCTCCTACTGAGCAGTTCTGGGAGATACAAAAAGAAAGCAATTGCCATTTATTCCATTAAAAGCCAGAACTTTACAAAAGGTAGCCATTGTGCTAAGAATATTTCCAAATTCCATTATACATTTCCTTGCTTTCTCTAGTGGTGGTGTGTGTATATGATCACATCTTTTCATTTTTAGCAGAAAATGAATAGTCAATTAAACACTGGCATCAGGATTTAAGAAAGAGTAGTCCTAATCCAGCCACCCAGCTGGGTGTGACTAGGTTCTAGCTCCTAGTCTAGAAGGTGAGGGCTTCTGGGCATCTCAGCATGGGGCTGATGTCCAGCACTTCAATATGGCTGACAAACCTCACAGGTTCCTTCTCCCTGCTCTCATGTTTTCATTCCTGCTACTTCAGTCTCTTAGGAAGAAGCCTGATTCCTCCTCCCACCCCCACAAAGAACAACTTCAATTTCCTAATGTTTTGCTTTCAGTATCTTGTAAATTAGGCAACTATATTTTACAAATGTTTGTTGAAAAGTATGTAAAGTAATTATGCTGTGCAAGGGGGCATAAGTCTTCCTCCTATAAGCACAGGAATCGCTGCTTTAATAAGATAACAGAGTATGGGGTGGTGTTATTCACACTGAAAAGGAGCATTATTATTTTGTTATGCTACTTTGGTCATTTGAGGGTCATTGTCCTAATGGGTTGTCTGCTGCATCCAGGATAGCTAGGATTATTATTTTAATTGACCTTGACATATACATAAATGAGCCTTCCCTGTTTTTCCCTCAAAAAGCTTTGGAAGTCAGCACAGTGTTTAAAGGTCCAGAGGCAGTTAAGAGTTGGCTTTGGAAGGCAGATTCTTCTTGAGAAAAAATAATAGACAGCACGGTAACAATGAATAACATTTTCAAGAACTGCACATACCAGCAGAAGACTTTGGACTGAACTCTATAGGCAGTGCCCAAGGACAAAAGGCATTCGAGGAGTATGCCAATCCTGGTTGGTCTTAAAGAAAACAGGAGTGATGTTTGGGAAAGAGAAAAATGAATCTATTAGCCCATGACCACCAAGAGTGCCTACAAGTGTGTCTTGGGGAGAGAAAGTAAAAGGAACCAGTAAAAGAAGGAAAACTGGGTCAAAGATATTTTTGAGACTAGGTAACTGAAAGACAGTGTACCAATACAGAAATACTGTGTAGGCAAGACAGACGGAGTGAGTATGTGAGGAGGCTGAGGAAAATGAGTTCAATCAGAAACACACTGAGGTTCATCAGTGCTGATATGGTTCCTGTTATTCATCATTTTGGAGGACCAAGTCAGCAAATCAAATCAAAACCATGCAAATAGGAAAAAAGAATAATTTTCAGTGTTTGCTATTGATGATGAGGTCTAAGGTCAGACCCTAATTACAAATACTTTTCCAATGAAGTTTTACTCCAATTCCAATGTGGAGACTTCCGTTGCCGGACATCTATGAAAAAGTGGCTCAGTATGAATTCGCCCAGGGAACTTAGAAATCCTCTGACATCAAAATCCAAGGAATATACTGATTTGTGAAGTCACCTGGGCTAATATGTCTTAGGTGTCCCCTGCTGCTAAATGCCATCATGTAGGCCAAAACAAAGACCTTTGAAGATGCATCTCAAACATAATCATTCAAAAACTACTCTAAACCTGCCAGGCCCAAGATGTCAGTGAATTCAATTTAAACATATGCTAATTTGGCATTACAGAAACCTGTATAACATATCCATATTTTAAGCACTCAAACTATACAACATTAGCGTTTATACTTGTTTCCTTGTTGATGATGTCCCTAACTTAAAACTTTAAAAGCCAGAAACCTATAAAATCCAGAGGGATCAAAACTGCCACAATCAAGCTTTGTATTTCGTGGTAATGAGAAGCTAAATGGTTATCTGTTTAACATCTTCACATACCCAAGAACACTCAATGCCCATTGTCTGCGAAAGATAAAAGTCATCCCCAACACAGCCCAAGTCAATTTTACTTATATTGAAACGAGTTGTAATTGTAAAAGGAACACAGACTAGAGGTATCCAAAGCCACTGCTTACAAAACATTCCTTTCCTGAAAGTACTTCATAGCAGCAATCATTTTCTGTACTTCCCAGGTAAACCTTGTACATTTTTCGACAGCTGAGTGGCTTCTCGGGTACAATTCACTTGCCAAGAAGCTCTATCCATTTTTCCAAGAGAAAACGTGGAACTCTGCCCACAGCATTCATTTCATGCACAGATACATTCCCCGACAGACAAACTGCTGCACAAAAGAAGGAGCACGATGACAAAGCGAGGTCCTCTGCCAGAAGGGCGCTTTGGGGGTCAGGTTATTGGCTGTAAACAGGTATATAAAGACAAAACCCCCAACCCATGCTGTGTGCAGTGTGGCCGGCCACGCAGAGCTCTGTTCTAATGAACTCATTATTTTCCATAATGGGGGACACAGAGACTTTCTCGAAATCGTGTTCCAGTCAGTCTCCTATTGATTTTTTGAATTTCTAGTTTCAACGGCGGCCCAAGGAAACAGCAGCCAGACTCGACTCCAAAGTACACACAGACTCAGGTTTCACCCCATCACCTGTTGGCTCCCGAATAACGCGGCTCTTTGTGAAACTTACAGCGCTCATTGGAAACAAGTTTCCAGAGAAAACACTTCAAGAAAGTGTTTGAGAAGTCACAAAACTCGAGTTGTAAAAACAAATTCCACACATAGCCCGGCTTATACTGACATAGATTAATGTGAAAACCCCAGTTTTAGACAAGGAGTCTGAGGGGCGCTGGAGGGAAAGGATGTCACCCTTCTTCGGGGAAACCCACCGGGTTCATTCTATTGCTCGACGGGACTGCGAGGGGAGGTTTTCGGGGTCAACGCAGGCCCCTACCAGACAGAGAAGCACCTCAGAGCGGGCTTCAGCGCCCCCTGCGCCCCCCCCCGCGCCCCACGAACCCAGCCCTCCGCGCCGCAGTGGCCGCTCAGGCCGCGAGGGGCGCCCCAAGCCGCGGGTCGGGCCGGTCCCGGGCGCTCTGCCGGCCCCGCCGCGGAGCTCCAGACCCAGGGAGCGAGCCCCTCTTCGGCGGCCAGGCGACGCCCGCAGAGAAGGGGTCCCCCATGGCCCCCCGCAGATAGCGTAGTAGCTCTCGAACCCCCCCTTGCCACCCCCGGAGGAGAGCCTCCAGGAGCAGCGCCACCTCCAAGGGAGAGCACTCACCCCGCGGGTTGACAGCCGTACCGAGCAGTGGCGGGTCCCGCCGTCTGTCCCCCCAACTTCCGACGGGCCGCCCCAGCCTGCGGGCGTCACGGACCGCGCGTCCTCGCGGAGCTCGGCGTCCATCCAGCCCGGGACCCAGGCAGCGGCCGCCCACCCTGGGCCGCGGACAGCCGGGCCGAGCGCGGCCTGCAGCCTCCCCCGGCCCCGCGCGCCGCCCGAGCGCCCCGACCCGCTGCGGGGTGGCGCCCGGAGCAAACTGGCCCGGGTGCCCTCCGGGTCACCCTCGCCCACCCTTTTCCGGAGGCGCTCGGAGCGGGGCGGGGCAGCGCGCGGCCCGCATAAACCCCGGCACCCCCTCCCCGCCGCTCCCGCCAGCCCAGGGTCCCCCGCCCCTGCCCCCGCCCCGCGTGACGCAGCCCCCCGGCCCGTCCTCCTCGAGCCCTCGGAACGACGCGGCGAGTCTCGCCGAGCACCCGAGCGGCCGTGGGGGGCAGCCAAAGGCTCCGCGCCCGCCGGCGTCGCTGACTCTGCGCCCCAAGTTGGAGTAGCGGGGCGCCACCGCACCCCCCGGCCCCGCGTCTCTCCGCCTCCCCGCGCCCCCTCCGCGGGGGACTCCCGCGCCCCCGTGCCGCGCGCAGCCCGCTAGCGTCCCGCGGCCTCAAAGTAACCGGAGCCCGCGTTCCCAAAGTAGCCATTTCGCCTCCCGCGGGTCCCACCCTCAGCCGAGCGCGGCCACCCGACGCCCCGCTCGCGATCCCGGCCCGCGCGCCCGGCCGCCGCCCGCTTTCCAGGAACTGTCACAGCTGACGGGGCCCTGGCAGGTCTCCACGAGGTCCCGCGAGCCTGGTGTTCCTCGAGAAGTTCCTCACCCACTTGGCCCACCTCGCGCTCCAGCACCTACCTCCGGTCGCCCGCTCCATTCCCGGGAGCTCCAAGAGTGGAGCTGCCGAGATGCAAACACCCCGGGACGCTGATGGCAACTTCCCCCGCCCGCAGGTGCACGCGCCGGGCTCCCGACGCTGGGAGAATATGCAAGGCCGCCGCTCGCAGAAACCATCTCCGCGGCGCCCATAACAATGATGTCAGCAAAAGGCAGGATGGGCCAAGTTCTCACTTGGAAGGACTCATTAACATATGAATTCTCCCCTTAGGACTCTCCTTGCATTTCGGAGTCATTCCCACTGCTTTTAGCGCAGGAGATCCCTCCCCGCCCCCCCACCGGTAAATAACAGTAAAAGCAGCTCAGGTCCCGGGAGGCACTCAAGGAGAGTAACAAGAGTTTTGATAAATAGGTTAAGCCGCGCACTTAAGGTTGTTAATCTTGTTGCCAGCTATTTCTAGATGCACTAAGACGACGTGAAGCTTGGCATTAGTTGTCCATAGAGGTCAGAGACCCAAAAACAGGACCTCAAGGCAAGCCCAGAAAGAAATGGCAGGTTCGGGAGTTCTTCAGAACGGCAAATTTAATTTCTGCAATAGTCACAAGGTGATAGATGCCCAGGAAAAGCAGAGCAAAAGAGGTGACGGTGAAGTGGAGTCCTACCTTTTTTTAGGTTAAAAAAAATCCTTGGGAATGATTTGCAGCATATAGGGTTCGACAGTGGAAGAGCGAACAATAGTCCTTTGTGACTGATTGAAAAATACACAAACAATTTGCCATAAATAGAACAGTCAAGTAAATAGCTCTGTGGCCAAATTTTGTTATCTCTCCTCTAAGCCAGGCAACTGAGAAGCAGCTTTTTATAAAGTTACTTTTTTTTTTTAAAGTGACAGAGAAAAAAAAAAAAAGTGCCTCTGCTGGGCAATTGGTTTGGAGACACTTTCAAACTGAATTGGTCATTCCAGTAGGCTATTGGCCAGTACAGAATCCAGTTTGGAAGCCCATTTGTAACAGGGTGGCCGCCAGGAAAGGGGGAGGTTCCCTGCCCCACCCAAGGGGGGGTGGAGCTGAGCAGGAAGAGAAAAGCTGCAGGAGAGACTGAGGAAGGAAGCAGGATGGAGCCAGGAGACCTGGAGGAGGCACATGGAGCCTAGAGACACGTGAAGAAACTGCGCTTGTCTTTTGGTCGTGGACTGGGTGACACAGATGTGGGTGAGACCCATGGGGAGGTGACAATGGCAGCTTTTATCTTGATGTTGATTTTGCTCTTTTCCTTCCGGGCTAGTCTGGTTATTTCTGACCCTTTTCTGTGGGTCCCCACTGGAAGATGCTTTAGACTTGTGGCAGGCTTTGGGGCCTTGCTCTGGGCCAATCCCATTTGGATGGACTTTTACCCACGAGGGGACGGGTAACTTTGGGTGCTTCATTTAGAAACTAGACTCTTTGCCTTACCTGTATTGTTTCCTAGTTTTATTAAAGTTCCTTTTCATTAAAGTCTCCTATGTTTTGTGTTGATGCGGCGGATGGCAGAACCCATTTAGAATAGGCAGGTTTGCGGGGTTTTGGGCTGCCCCTCTCCCTGTCCTATAACACATTCCAAAGCAGTTCTACTATATAGAAGTTCTAATATATAGAAGTTCTAAGATAAAATATATAGAAGCCTCTGGTTTTCAGGTTGCCTGGGCTTTCTGAAGAGTTGGGGGAGAATGTAAAGCTTGCCACTTTTCTCTGCATCTGCGAAATGAACCATGAACACCTAGGTCCTATTTCCTTTTTCCTATTTCATTCTGTTTGGGTTTCCTGGGGGAAGTTACTGGCAGTCTGTGTGTAACAGGGTGGTCCCCAGGAAAGGGGAAGGTTCCCTGCCCCACCCAAGGGAGGGTGGAGCTGAGCAGGAAGAGGAGAAGCAGAAGAAGAGACTGAGGAAGGAAGCAGGATGGAGCCAGGAGACCTGGAGGAGGCACATGGAGCCTAGAGACACATGAAGAAACTGCGCTTGTCTTTTGGTCGTGGACTGGGTGACACAGATGTGGGTGAGACCCGTGGGGAGGTGACAATGGCAGCTTTTATCTTGATGTTGATTTTGCTCTTTTCCTTCCGGGTTTGTTTGGTTGTTTCTGACTCTTTTCTGTGGGTCCCCACTGGAAGATGCTTTAGACTTGTGGCAGGCTTTGGGGCCTTGCTCTGGGCCGATCCCATATGGATGGAGTTTTACCCACGAGGGGACGGGTAACTTTGGGTGCTTCATTTAGAAACTAGACTCTTAGCCTTACCTGTATTGTTTCCTAGTTTTTATTAAAGTTCCTTCCCATTAAAGTCTCCTATGTTTTGTGTTGATGCGGCGGATGGCAGAACCCATTTAGAATAGGCAGGTTTGCGGGGTTTGGGCTGCCCCTCTCCCTGTCCTATAACAGATTTTCTGTTGAAAAACTGGCTTGGGCTTTGTGAAGATTCTGTGTGTTTGTGTGTAATTTGTTTGTAGTGACTTGCTAAGAGATTTTAATTTGTGGAAATTGTTCTGCGCCAGTTTTACTCAAAAGATTAGGCAGTACATTGGACCATGTGGCCAGATCAAAGATGGCGTCTGAGGCCACTTGGAGTGCTCTTGTAAAATTCAGAGGTTCTTGTTGCTAGGACTTTGGAACATTTTTTTTCTTTCTTTTTGTAATCTCTGCTGTCTCATTAGCATTTCTAAAGGCAATAATGGTTCTTCATTAATATGTTGCTTTGTCTTTGACTACTTCCTGCCCTGTGTCTGACGGGTTTTGCAAGCCAACTGTGGAGCAGTGGTGTTTTAATTAGCAAATGTATGCCTGGGTGTTAAGGAAAGAGTAGCCTTAAGCAGTAACTGGTAATCGCTGGTATCCTTGATGGATTCTTGGAGATAACTTGAATTTTTGCAAAGTCTGGATCAGAAAAATTAACAAGATTTTGTCTGAGTCTGAAAGGATTTGCTGCTGTGAATTTTGTCTACACAATTTGTTTTGGGCATGTTTGCCATTTTGAATACTGGATTTGTTCAATTGCTGGTGTAAGACAAGATTCTAAGTTTCTGCTTCCTACTGAGGAAGGTCTGTTATGGAAAGCACTCTTTAGGGTGCATCATGTAACTGTACCAGGTTTTCATACCTGTGTTGTTGTGTCCCTCCCTAGTGTGGGGGAGGTGTAATCTGTGCTTAGATGTTTAATCTGTTCTTTCAGCTTCTGTCCCAGAGTGGCTAACAGAAGTAAGGAGATGACTCCTTTTAATTAAAAGTTAATTACTGATATTTTGATTTTGCTTTTTCAGGTTCTATTCCAGGAAACCCACGGAGTGCCTGCTTGGTGGCTAACAAGAGATGACTCCTTTTGCTTAAAAGTTAACTGTTACTTTTATTCTTTCACTTGCTGTACAGAATACCCCAGGATTGACTTCTAATAAAAAGTCTTCAACACTGAAAACCCTAAGTTGATAAACAAGGTCATGTAACTCTTGTGATTAATAAATCTTTTCCTTCCTATTTCCAAAGTCTTAGGTTTGCAGGATGACAACTGGAAATTTTTCTGCCAGCAACACTCCACATTTTTTTTTGGACTTTGACATTTTTTTTCTGAGCCTATGGAGAAAAACTGCAGTTACATAACATTCTACGTGGCATAACTAAAAAAAAAAAAAAACTGTCTTTGTCTATATGTTGTATGTCTGTATGTCCTTGTGTCTAACTGTCTTGACCTCCAGTGATTGACAAATTGGTACACATGGTGCCCATACACATTGAAAAAAAAAAAGAGTCTCCAGTTATGAGAAAAACAAAAGGTTATGGTTTGATTGTCAACATTGTGCTACTGAACTAAGCTGGTGCCTTCATAGAGATTGAATATTGTTGTTTCTGTTATTTTTCTGATATTTATGGCAAAGCTTCCCAGAAATCTAAATTCAAGTACAAATTTGGTAGCCTGTCATTTGGCTGATGCAAGGAAATTTGGTGGAACCTCAGTAGAGCTCCTGAGACACTCCACAAAGTTTCTCCTTTTCCTCCTGGAAAGGCATTACATGAATTTGTTCTATTTGGCTTTTACCTAATGAAGTAAAACTGGAAGGGAAGCATTGTCACTTGGGAAAATGGCAAAACTTTGGTATGTACAAAATGTTAACAGTAGTTTTCTAAAATGTGTATAAAAAAAACCTCTCAGTATCTGGTATGTATGTAAATTGTCAATGGTGATTGTCACCTTGTAATATTGTATAATTCAATTGTTTCACATCTACAGAAATTGTTTCTGGAAATATAGGGAGAAAAGGTCTCAACAGATTCCTATTAATGGAACTGTTGAGAGTAAAAAACTTTCCTACAAAGGACTGAATAGACCTGGAAATACACCTGACATTTACTAAGGTTTCTTTGACATAATACTGGAAATTTTTTTATGCATTCTGTCCTGAATCCGTGTAGTTTTTGTTTTGTTTTGTTTTGAGTAACCAGGATCTGCAGAAAGGTTGCAATTTTTTTTCCAGCAAAGCTAACTTGTCACATTTTCTCTCCCCTTGATACCAACACGGCATACAAATAGTGGTAGTAATTTTGCTACTTATCTTAGAGTCTGTTTTTGCATAACTTACATAGGGATTTTGCCTGTTTTAACAAAAAAATTGGACATGAGTTTGATTGTGTGGCTTTGTGTGGAGTTCTTCCAGAAAGTTGAAAAAGAGCTGAACCAAGAAGAGGAGAACCTGTTTGCCTTGTTTGTAGGGTTCCAGAGACCTCCAAAGAAGGTGAGGAAGCTTGCCTCCATTGGCAGGACTGGACAACCGGCCAACGAAAAGTCCCTGGTACCCTCGAGAAGAGGAAAGCCCAGGTGGAGTCTGATGAGACCAACTTTATACCTGAAGCCTACATCGACTGGATGCCACCGGTTCGCTCTGATCCTGTGTGGAGTATTTCAACAAAGCCAGCTAAAAATTGCTGTTAGTTATTTTCTGCCCTGTGATTTTATGCAAAAATAGGAAAAATGGTTTAAAAGTAAATTTAATTTGCAAATTTTTGCTATGCTGTTAAAGTTTGGGATCAAGGTTGAGAGAATTCGTTTTTGCATAAGTTGAACCATTTTAACATTTTTTTCCCTGTGATTTTGATATATTTGCTATCTTGTTTTAGCCAATGCTCCAACTTTTTTTCTTTTGGCTTGGATAATGGACTATTTTTAAG